AGGTTTTTAGCAGCTGAGAATTAGCGGCGCAGATCAATGACAGCGGTTAGCTTTGAACTGGGCTCTGAATGCTAGTGCTTTGCCACTACGTACGTAGATGAAAGGGGCGGAGTTCGCTATTAGTAGTGAACTTTCGTTCCCTGTGGATATTAAAGGTGATTTGATTTCTGCATAGTGTAGCTTATTCTCTCTCTCTCTCTCTTTTCCCCGAAAGTGTCAAGTTTTCATTAATCTTAATCAACATTTACAAGTGTAATGAGGTAAAGACCTTCAGCATACCTAGTGTGTTCAAGCCACCCTTCTGCTCTCGATCGTGTTTCAGTTTCATAGCAAACTTTACTACTAGTGCTGGTGTTCTGAAGTCTTCCAGTACCGCTGCCAATAAAGCATCTTGTGGCTTATTCATTGTTGTGATAATGGGCACCAATGCTGCAACTAAAAATAGTTGTCCATACACGGTACACCCCCTATGAAATGAAATGAAAGGTTATATCGTTAATTCTCCCAAATCCTACCTCACGCCCATATATTTTCCCACGTTTCCCATTTATTTTGAACTATATATATGTTTCTAACTGACAATGTGGCACGCATCTCCTAATCCCTAAATTCCGTCCCCGACACTTCTCCTCACCTGTGTCACAACAATTTTATCCGCACGTCATTCATCTTTTAAGCCTAAATTCAACTAGTGATCAATCAAGCTCTGAGTATTTTGCTCCCTCAAAAAAAAAATTTTTTTTTTTCAAAGAGCCATTTCGGGATATAAGGCCATCCTGGAAATGCTGGTGGGCTTGTTTTTGTTTTCTATTTTTGCGAAGTCCGTTTTGCAATTGGACCACGACAAGCAAATTAATCTGCAGTTTCCAAGAGAAAATTACAACTTCTTTGGAGTGCCTAAAATTAAATGATGCACGGATTCCCCTAAAAACTTTCTCGTTGGTGTGGTACTTAAGCAGGTTGGTTCACATCTATCCAGCGATAGATTTTTTGCACTTCTTAGCTGCTGATCGCTGAACTCAGTCTCGACATTGTAAAGATAATTGTCTCAGGAGATCGTGGACTTAGGTAGTAATGTCATTCGTTGCATTAGCTACATGGGACAAGCAGCAGCATGATTGAGTATTGGGTAGACCATAAATTCAACATTCCTTCCCGGCTTCCCCTACATAATCACCAAAACAGAAAAAACACTTGGCAGTAGTACTCTGTATTCGAGGATGAAAGGCGCATTCCTTCTTTTACTCGCTCTTCTATGACCCTCTTGCAAAACTCATCTAGGCTAGACGTCTAAAGAGACCTGTGAATGATGGAAATGACTAGCATTCAGCAAATCAGGATTTGTATTTTTTTTCCCCCAAAGTATTCTATGTTGGCCCTCAAGATGGCCTGAAGGAAGCTGACAAGATCACGACATTGCCAGGACAACCAAATGGAGTGAGTTTTGGTCGGTACTCGGGTATGTCACTGCTGGTCCTAAGACTGGTCGAGCCCTCTTCCACTATCTTGCTGAATCTTCGAATTCTCCTTCCACCACCAAGCCTTTAGTGCTGCGGCTAAATGGAGGTACGATTCTATCAATTCTTATGTATATATACATTTTCCTGGACAGGCTTTCTTAAATTTTACTACTACACTCTGTTTTGCACTATTCCACATGATGAGTCACCACAAGCAACGATGGAATTGAGATGTACACCACACTGTTGATGCATTTTGCGCGTAATCTAGTTAGAAAGCCAGTTGCGTTTGATATAATTGCCTGAATGCGAACGACCAAGCTGCTCGTCATTCGGGATTGGAGCAACGACAGAACTGTGACCATTTCGAGTTAACCCAGACGGCCGCACACTATGGCATGCTCAAATATGCCTGGAACAATGGTGACAATTCATGACTTCTCTATAATGACTGCATGCATATTAACTCAAATTGAGGGTTGTAGTTTTATAGCTACTATTGCCGGAATCTCCCGCCGGTGTTGGATTTTCTCCCTCAAAACACATCGTCCGACTATATTACAGGAGATACAAAAACTGCTGCAGATTCTTATACATTTATAATGAATTGGTTAGAACGATTCCCCGAGCATAAAAACAGGGAGTTTTTCATTGCTGGAGAAAGTTATGCCGGTCATTATGTTCCACAGATTGCCAAACTCATCAATATTAATTCTGGTGTCGCAACTTGCATCTGTTCATCTTCGAACGTTGGAATGATGAGCCAGACAGAGACTCAGTTTTGGTTATGTTTCACGTCCTCAACAGATGGTAGAGTGCCAGTGACAACAACTAGGTATGGCATAATGGTATTGCGGTCGTTGGCGTTGGCATTTTCTATGGTTGAAGAGAAGAAGAAAGATGAAAAATATCAACTGATTTGACAATTGTACGCTATTGCTCCTCGTGTTAAATTTAAATACGACGGATTAGGTTAACCGTTGAATTTCATGATCAGCGTAGCGGCCAATTAGCAAAGTCAGATCAGTTTATATCCGCATAATTATTACTTATAATAATAATAATAATAATATATTTCTGCACTCTCTTCACCAAAACAAACGAACAGACAAGCATTTGATAATAATATATAGTCAAAAATGAAAATTGAGATTTGTTTATTTTTCGATCGTAAGGAGCACAGAAAGATGGGATAAAAGTCTTTCTTTAAGTCCACCTTCCCCAGTCCCCAGTCCCCACCCCACCAGGACGATCAAATAAATACTACTAGTAGTAAATAAAGAATTTTTTTTATTTTTTTAAAAAAAGGAGAATTAGCAACGCAATATATATTCTTCTATAAGAAAATGTCAACTTTGAGTTTAAGTACCCCAAATTTGAAAACCATAACACTTTTGCCCTTCCGTTCATTTTAAAACATTAGTACGACAATTTCAAGCAGGAATATTAACAACAGTTACGTTATTTCTTGTTATTCTCCCTTAGGTTTTTGTGATCTTGTTACCAAGTTGATGCAGTGAATTATTTGGACAAGAAATTATTTGCCCAAATATATTTGCTTACATCACCATTACAATTTCCAATATACATTTTTATCTTCTCAATTACCTTTTTATCTCACATACATCACATCACATCACATCACAAAAAGTACGACAGTAAAAATATCTCAAATAATTTACGATCCAAACACACTCAATTATTAATGCTTAATTTCCCGAGTGAATTGTATGTAACTTTTTGAGTTATATATGATGTGAATTATCTGTATCCCAAGAATTCACTCATCCTTTTGAACTTTAATATGTTACACTTATCAGGAAGCAATTAGGAAAGAAAAAGGTGTATGAATTAGGAAGCAATTTCCTTGTCAACTGGGTAGGTAGTCGGAATAATTTTTTTTTAAAAAAAATGGTTTGGCTAATTGATGTCCATCTGTCAAGATGTAGTTCAAGTAATAGATTTTAGAAAAGAAAAAAATTAATTTAAATACATATATTTTTAATGAATGATAATAATTATTAATATCTATAAAATTTAAATATATTAACGAATACTCCTCACGACCTAAAAGAAAATCGCTGGACGGACGGTTGTAAGTTGTAACGGTTGCCGTGGTTTTGAATCGCCTGCCTGACGATTTAAATCACAAAGGCAAGGCTGTAGACGGAAGATCGGGAATTATAATATCGCAGTCAAATCATCCCCTTAACTATCCTATCCATAATCATTTCGCATTTTAAAATTCAAATAGACCATTAGCACAAGCAAGACTGCCCAATCCTCAAAAGAATCGGTACGCTTTACGGCTCTGTTTGTTTGTTTGATAGAAGAGTCGTGTAAGAAAGTGTGCCGTCGTCGTGGAAATGTGAAGTGAAGTGAGATAAAAGGAAAAAGAAATTAATTTTTTGGTTAATAAAAAAATGGTGTAAGAAAATACAAATTCTTATAGTTGTTTAGCCGAAAAGTCATGGAAAAATTGGTTAGTATGTTCGTCAATAAAAAAATATATTCAATAGTGAATTTCTTCATTTTTTGGTATTGGAGTGTATGTAAAAACATGTAATAATTATAACATTTTGCTATTGGAAGGGTTGTTTACTTGAAAATTAATGACATTCTTTAACAATAAGTGATTTCAAAAATATACAGACATAAAAAAGAAACATAAAATGTAAAAGAAAAGATACTAATGTCATATAAATTCAATAAATTACTAATTCATTAATTGTTAAAATAAGAATAATATATCTAACTACAAGCCGGCTGTTTGAATTATAATATGTAGAAGTTTAGAATGGAGGAAATACTTTAGAAAAAAGAAGAAAGAAGTTCTGGGAAAAAAAAAATCTTATCAATTGAAACTTTCTTATGACTCACTTTTCTATCAATTTCAGCAGCAAAAAGTTTCAAAAATTGCAGGAAATTTATTTCCTTGACTTTTTTTCCCAAACAAACGCTACTATCTAAAACAATTCCGAGATTCCCATTTGCAGTCCAAAATCCCTCAAGTAAACGGCTGACGTTTACTCCGGAGCTTGAATTTTATTTCCACCATTTATTATTCGATGAAATGCCAGCATTGCCCTCCCAAACCCCAAACGCAATGTAGCCTTTTTTTGTTTTTTTTTGGAGGAAGCAATGTAGACTTGAAAGCACTTACTAGTTTTGTAGCTTTACCAAAATTAACTATGGAACTAAAAATTTGCCTGTGCTGTGCCACGCCCAAGTAAATAAACCATTCTTGATCCTAAGTAATTCCTCAAAGAAAAAGCCATCTACTAAACATTTACATATGATCATTGGACTTTGTTTGGATTGCTATTTTTTCAAAAAAAATTTACACATTTTATGAATATTTTTTTGCACAATTTTCAATCTTTTTTTTTATCTTACAAACAACGTCACATCATATAAAAGTAATACAGTGACTCAAAAACTGTTCAAAAAGTGCAATCGAAGCAACCTTAATTGTGGTTCAAAAATCAGAAGGGGCGTCTATAAAAACTGTAAACTCCTGTAGCCGCACCCATCCAAGAGCTAAAACACTAGAGTACGCTGAGTTGCTGGCCTCAGTTTCTTTCTGAGGCCTGTATCGTTGAGAAGGCTAAATTGGGTAAACTAGAGCGGGAGTGGTTGAAGAGTCCCCATCGATGGGGAGAATAGCATTAGATATGTAGAGACAGATTTAAAAGGCGGCCCTGCAGCGCTTGCTGCTGCGGTGTCTCTCCGGTCAATCACTGACCCTCTTTCGTATCCTTCCTTGCCCTTTCCTCTTTTTCCTCTCCGCTTTGCTTTTCCTCTCCTCTCTCGAGTGTTTAATCTTTAACTACTCCATTAGTAGTAGTACGTACAGATATAGAACCCATGTTTTAAGCAGCTCACTACAAACTCTCTGGAGAGTCTTAACAAATATGGAGATGGAAGTAATGATGCCATCGGCTCCGGTGGACTTCAACTTCGACAGTACATGCACTTCTCCGTACATTAGCGCCCCTTCAAGTCCCCAGCGCTTCGGGACCTTCTTCTTCAGCGCCCCGACAAGCCCCACCCGGGCTTCCTCCTTCTACGCCGACTTCAATAACTTCTCCCTTCATCATGATGATCATGAGACCTCCCACGACCACGAGTCTCTGTCTGCAGTTCCATTCAACTGGGAAGAAAAGCCTGGAATGCCCAAGGCTCAAGAATCCCTTTTGATCAGGGATGTTAATTCTAATAACTATGCGGATAAAGAGTTCGCTTTCGATTTCAGCGGGCAGTTGGAGTCGAGTTCTTTATCTGCTGATGAGCTCTTTGATGGGGGCAAGATCAAGCCTTTGAAGCCGCCGCCTCGATTGCAATCAGCTGTTGCTGATTCTTTGAGCCCGAAGTCGCCTCGATCACCCAAGAAGAAGATCAAAGAGGCATTGTCACCCCGACATAAAATGAAGGATTTTGACCCGTTTGCGGCGGCGCTCGAACAAACTCGTAAACAGAATATTAGCACCAGCACCAGAACTGCCATTACCCAAGAACGTCCTGGAAGAAATGATGATCAAGTTCAACGCGGCCGAGAAAGGACTCAGAAGCCGCCCTCCTTTAGGCAAAAAGGAACCAGATCTTTGTCCCCTTTTAGGGTCTCGGACTTGTTACTCGATCATCGAGAGAACAATCAACAGAATGCAAAGAACAATTCAGCTTCTTCTTTCTCTTCTTCTTTTTCGTGGTTTTGGTATAGAAAGTGGAAGCTCAAGGACTTGTTGCTGTTTAGAAGTGCATCAGAGGGGAGAGCTACGAGTAAAGATCATTTAAACAAGTATTCTACGTTGAAGAAGAATAATACGGAGCAAGAGGATGTGAAAAACTCGAGCTTCAGATCAACTGATAGTGTTGGTTCATCAGTATCAAGCTCCAAGAGGAGAGGCCAAGCTTCAGCTCACGAATTGCATTACACGGCAAACAGGGCAGTCTCAGAGGAGCTCAAGAAGAAAACTTTCTTGCCTTACAAGCAGGGGTTATTGGGCTGCTTGGGATTCAATCCGGGGATTCCTATTCATGAAATTTCTAAAGGGCTCGGTTCTATGAGCCGAGTTCGTGGTTGATTAATTTATTAGATTTCTTGTCAAGGATAAAACAACTTCTGGGGTTGGTGGTGTGGACATCTTCTCTAAATCTGTATCTCCACTTCTCTTTCTTGTTCAGAAAAAGTATAAACAAAAGTCTCTTGCTGTTCTCTTTTTTCTATTGATACAATTTTACTAGGTAATGATCTTGTGCTTTAAGACGTTCCAATTTGTTTTGAAGGATATGAAATTGCGGATTAGTACCAATTTAGCTGTAAATACTATTTCAAAATACAGCTAAACGATCTGCAAAATTTCTGTCGAATGCCACAAACATTTAGCATTTAATTGCCTTTCAATTAAAAGTGCTGAAGTTTGCTCTGGCGTTAGTTGTTGGGATATTATGGCATGCTGTTACCACCGCTCAGGCGGTGGAGGGAAGCAACTGGTCTCCAGTTATCGAAACAAACAGTAGTGAAGCTGGAAATTTTTCTTGTATGTTTTCGTAGAGGACGCTAAGAGTTATGGAATAAGCCGTGATTCCAGACAGAATTTGTTCAAGCTGTTACCCATTCAATTCAATTAATAAGGAGTCGATGAACCTCAGAATTTGTTCAAACTGTTGCTCAAATATTGTATGGTTCAGTTTATATAAAATATACCCTCTAACGTTTCCGGAAAAAAAAAAGAGAAAAGAAAAAAGATGAACCTCAGCAATCAATCACTTGCTACACTAGCTACTAGCCTACAGCTTTTTGGATGTATTGCCCTGTCCAGGAGCACATCAACCATACAATTTTACCTTTAAACAATCCAGGCTCTTAATTCTGATAAACGATATACGTACAAGTCTTGTTTTGTAACTTTTTTGTTTCATCCTTCATGCATGCATGCCTTTCTCTATGTTTATAAAGGCCTGATGCAGCAAACATGTTGGGGTGCACACTAAATTTGTCTTATGGAATTGGGACCTCAGATCTTAAGCATAGGATTATTTGCGGGCATCTTATTCTTAGGTTCAGTACGTGCCAATTGTCAAACCTTGGGTAAATTTCACCCCCCAAAAATAGGATTCCTATCCTGTCTGACAATGTTCGCTGTTCACACAGCCAAGGATTGTCGTCGCATTCATGCTGGACATCCACTCGCGTTTTCACATTTGTCTTTGAACCATTTGAGAGCCATTATCCCAACTGTTTTCGTGTTGGCTGCTGTCATGGCACCTCAAAATTCTACATTACCGCATCCCATTATGGCACAGAGAAATGAAAGAGTCCTGTTTAATTTGTACCATTGCATGCAGGATTACAATCTTAATGAATATTATCCATTTTAAGAATCATCAGTAGAGGCCCGTGAAGCATTGAAAGTCATTCTCACTACAACTTTACCAGGATTAAACAAGAAACATTCACTAAAGAAGGAAGAGAAAAATGAAAAGGAGATATTCATGTGGGGGATCTGGGCTAGCAAAGCAAAATAGTTGCTTGTTCTCTGTAGGGTAAAGAAGGAGCTAACAAACTAAGCAAGAATTAACTTTTATCAACATTCCAGATGCACGTAATGTTGTGTCGTGGGATTAAGAGGAAAACCACGGGAAAGCCTGGAATTGTGCTACCACTTTTTGACCTTTTTCTTCAGAGCATATTCGGCATTAGCCCGATAACCGACCAGTGTAAAGGGGATTAACACGGGGGTTAAAAGTACTGACCAAATGCTTGGCTTAGTTAATAAGGGCGAACTATTTTCTTAGAAAAAAAATAATATGTTAAAATTCACTGTTCTATCTGCAAGAACTTTTATAAACGGTTTGTGATTTCGTAAACATATTCTGATCCATTATAATAGTGATTAGCAGGGCAAAATCATACAAATTTTTATCTTAAAAAAAAACAAAAAAAAAAAAGTAGTACCGACCAAATGGTGGACGCAATCATCTCAAAATAGGTGCTTTGGCATCACTTTATAACTCTCCTACTGATTTCTTAAATGCAAAAAGATTAGTCGGAACTTTATGATGGCGGTGATGATATAGAGCATCATGACATTTCCATGGTGGTGTCGGTGGTTGTTTCGGATTTTATGCTCCAAACACGGCCACACCTCATGGTTGTTAAAGAAAATCATCATGCGTTTATTCCTCTGATTCCGGAAAGCCTCTCATGCACAGGTACTCCCCAGCTGCATTTTAGGATTCACCTTTTCTATGAAACCCTTAATAGAAAATACAATTGGAGGTGTGATAACGGACCATCAACGGTTGACAAGAAATATTCTTTCAACTTTTTTTTATTGGATCAATCGGGCAATATTTACACGACTATTACTCTGCCAACAATATTTAGGGCACCGTTTGATAAAATTAAAATTCATTAAATTATTGAATTGTTAAGTATTAAATTTAATACATTTGAATACATATTAGTGATAAGTGAATAATTTATCACTTAATTTTGAGAACAAGTTTTGTCCAGGATATTCAATGCCACTTAATTAATTCAAATGTTCAATTTTTAATTATCAAATGGTCTAAATATGTTAAGATTTTAACCCATTAAATGTAGGTGCTGAACTGGATTATCAAACATAATCTTATACTACTCTTACTCTATTCTATATTAAGAAAGGGTCCAGTTGGGTCCAAAAAAAATTAGAGGAAAAAACCCACCTCTAAAACAGAAGATGCCCTACTATACCTTTACTATTCGTTTCAACAATTTTTTCCTACATCAAATAAAGGCGAGACTTTCCGAGAACCAAACAAAGCATCATAAGCACATTTAGCACACTAAGCACATATCTTACTTAATCGACTTTATTACGTATCTTATTTAAGCTTGACATGTCAAAGGATGGACTAACTCATATCATCCCCCAAGCGAAAAAAAATGCTAAACGACCGAAATTAAGAAAGGGATAAGATTCAACTAAACTTCCTAGCTTTGCCCTAAGTTAAAACATTTATTCATGTGAAAATGGTAAACAAGTCCAGGGTTTTTAGAGTTTTCTCTAAACTAAGAGGTTCATGATTCAAATCTCGAGTCTAGCAGTTAAAAGTAGAAATGACGTGAAAGGGAGTGAGAGTTGAAAAAAAGAAATCCATTGATCTGCCATGAACACGACGACAGCTAAATTCCTTTTTACAAGGAGAAAACCAGTAGTAATAGGCAGCGAGCAAGGCTGAAATTACCCCCGATAACCTGATTGGTGGTGGCGGAAGCGTCATTTAAATCACTTTTAAGGGGCGGATTGCAGTTTGGGCGATCCGGGGTTATGGATTGGAAATTAAGAAGGCTGTGCGATGACTTTAGTCAGCGGCCGTCGGAACTGGAAAGGAAAAATGAAATCCAGCAGCGCACGTGCCGCTGCAAGCGTAGACTACCATGACTGACTGGCCCTCAGCCCTAGACAAACACTTACGGAACGAGACTTTGACATTTGATTTGACGACCAAATTTAATACGTACTACGTACTACTCTATCATCATCAATTAGTTTGCCGATATCTTTGACATGTCTAGTCAAAAACAAACAACCCGGGTCAAGCATGAACAGCAAGACCTCTCTCTCCTCTTCTCCTATTTTTTTTTTTATTTTTTTTTATTTTTTTGGGTCCAAGGAAGAAAGGATCCCCGGGGAAATTTTTTTTTTTGGGATAGAGTTTTGTGTTGTAACAATAATAGTGGTTGCCACCTATTAAAAAACAAAAAACAAAGAAGAAACAACAAAATGTTATTGATCTGGACAACAAAATGGTGGTATTACTTAACTGGCCCATACTGCTGCTGATCTTCAAAATTCAGCAACCAACTTCGCATTCCCTCATATGTTATTGTAGATTCCAAAAACTCCATAAAATTATCTTCAGTCCGATCTTTAGTAGCCTATTGCCATGTCTATCCGAAACTAAAGAAGTTTAATCCAATGTGACAACCAAGGATTTATAAATTGGGTGGGAAAGTGTTTTTCCTACCAAGATCATCCGTTGACCTTGGGCTCATGGCAAGTCCTTTAATGCATGCAATGAATGGGCGAGCTGAAAACAAAAACAAACTGCTCAAAAATTGCATTGAAAGCCCAACCGCCACCTCATTTCATCTGCCAACAAAGAGTAAATCAATGGAACCAACTTCTCCTTGGTAAATTGGCCACCAGGGGATTTAAAATCCCCTTGAACTATATAGATCAGGCGTTTAAAATCCTGCAACTACAGCCACATATAGCCTGGTTGGATTTTTCCCTTCCCTTACGCTAGGATAGATGCTACCATATGAGGGGAAAATTAATAAACGGACCTCTGTTCTTTTTTGGGAAAAAGGCGCCATTATTTGAAGTTCCTCGAGACACGAAGAAGGCTTTTAATAGATAAGAAAGCAGAACTGCATAAGTAGTCATATGTGTAAAAAAGATAGAGAGCATGTAGTACTCCCACACAAACGCATCATGCTGCAGAATCATTTCTGAAAAAACAGATCAAAATCTAACATATTCTAGTATACCAACAAAGAGATTCCACAATAGTATTTCGTTTCTTATTGTACAATGCAACCCACCACCGTTTACATCCAGCGGAAACAGCACAGCCGACACTGTTAAATTGTTCGTATCAGTCCACTGCCAAGATGAAAAGACGATAAAAGGGTAGCTTGAAGATCTCCTGTAATGTTAATAGATAGATCATATATTCTATCAGGAAACTGGGCTGATTACCAAACAATTACATTAGGAGATTTTCACCTTTCCCAACCTGTATTTTCATCTATAATTGGCTGGCCCACGAAGGAATTGTACAAGGCCTTTGCAGGACTCACTCTGCAATGCAGCAGAAAGTACTGTACTACACAATTCCTGCACTGCATACAGGTAACCAATCGATAGTCAGTTGAGATCTCCAGACTCCAAAATCCCCACATCAAAAGTAAAACCTCCAACTACATACACGTGCTCAGAAGGGGGTGGGAAAGTCCAATCAGTCAGTGATGTACCGAAAGAGTAGTCAAAGTGGGTATGGCCAAAGGTGAACCGGATTTCTTTCTTTTGACCCTCCTGCTTTTTCTTTTTTCTTGATTGCTTTATGTCTTGGCATGAAAGTGTGCTTTTATGAGATATGTTTGCACCACCAACTGTGAAAGTTTTATGGAAAAACAGTGCAAGTTTACAATAATTTCCTTCCTTCATCAAAGAAACTTATCAGGACCCG